TGCATTTTCACCTTCCAATACCCTTTCCAGATGCAGGAATCCTCCGTGAGTAGTACCACTGAAGTCAACAGAATGAAGTCAGTTGAAACTACTCATGGAGCAGAGGAATGGTGTCAGAATCTGGCTCTAAACAGACTGTCCCCCTTTGTGAAAGTGTCTCTCGAAGAAGCTCCATCTGAGCGAATGGAAAGCACATTCATTCAGACTAGTGCATAATCACATGTGATTACATGTAATTACATGAGCAATTGAAACTATGGATGCAATGTAAACACTGTATAGTAGCCAATCAATGACTTTTTTGGTCAATGTGTTTCTTTTTATCCAAGGCAACAACTGAAAAATAAATACAGTGCACTGGCCCCAGCACTGAAATAAATACAATGCTAATTTTTCTTATTTGCTTAATGAAATCATTAAAATTATACTTTCTCACTGTTGAAATGAATAATTAATCTTTCCGTTAAAATATCAGCTGCCCACCATGAATCATCCGCCATTATTTCCTATTATCTAGTGGCTGAGCTTTGTGGGACTGTAATTCCCTCTCCTCACAGTACATGGCATGCTAGAATGTCTGGAGAATTAAGCGTGTACTGGCAACTATGTGTCCATGTCAAGTTAGACTGTTATACATACCAGTGAATTACAAAGGGATTAACCCACCTTAGCAAACACACATTTATTGTACAATCCACTAGTAAAGTACATTGGAAAAGATTAATGATGCACCTTGTTTATAATTAATGCAAACCCTGCTTTACATGAGGTGTATTTTTCCTTTAAAAAAAATAGAACATTTTACCCTTACCGTATATAAAGCATGAGGGAGGAAAAAGCCCCTTTCCCTATAACTTAGTTTTTGAGGTTATTGCTTTTTTCTCCCCCCTGCTGTGCCAGCTACCATCGCAACTTGCTGCCACCTTTGGTGGATAACATACAGCAATTTCGTCCAAAGAACATAGCAGTGCCACTAGTAGAAAATGCCCTGTGTATGAGAAGGGTATATCTATCCTTGTCTCCCAGTGCATCTCACTGAACTTCAAGAGTATCAACCATTACAGCACAAAATAACAATCACCCCACAATGCAACAATTTTCACCCATTAATGTTATATAGTAGTTTGCAGAACAGGAGTCACAAGGTATGGGCCTGATCTTGCAAAGCTTTACTCGAGTGACTTCAGTGGGGCTATTTACATGCTGAAGGGTTTGACTGAAGCCTAGTTCCTTCACCTGGTGATATCTTAATTTGTAAACTCCTTGAGGAAGAGCCCATTCTTTTGTTCTGTGCCTAGCACAACTGAACTCTGATCTCTGATTAGGATTGCCACATGCTACGGCCACACAAATAATAGTATGTATAGCAACATGATACAGTCTTAATGATAATACTTGTAAGAAGTCATACTGTAGTGCATGAATACTGAATTAATTAGTAAGAGCAAGGAACATTTGAGGTATCAGGAATGCCCATGCAAATTTATGCAACTGCAATAATGAGTGTTAAGTCATGTAGGCTTTCTCCCAGGACAAAGCCTTTTATTCTGGGACCCTACAGACGTACAAGTCCATTGTTCCACTTTTAGGACTTAGAAAATATCTGATATAACACTTTTCCCCAAATAATTGGGGAGAGTTAATTTGAGTTAATTGCCATTCAAGGTGCATGTGTAGACAACTGTCCCCGCGCTTGTCATGATGCAAGGTAAAGCCCAGGACAGTCAGATCCAAGAGAAACCAGATGTCTATTTTGACCCTCACTAACCGTATGATTGTGTGCTCTATGATCTGAGAGATTCAATCAAGTTTGAAACTCATCCTTAAGACTTTGAAATTTCCATTAAAAAAAAAAACCCAGCAAATTTGGGATGATTTACATCCTTTCCTCCAGTTAAAATTGGGAGGAAAGGAGGAATTTTCAAAATGGTTTTAAAACTCCTGCTGTTTCGGGATTTCCATTCACTGAATGGGGCTTATGTTCCTCATAGTTAGCAATGATATTAGTAACTCTGTGCAAGACAGGCTGAACTGGAGGAATCACAGGGCAGAAACAGCTTTCCCACCAGAAAAAGATAAGAATCAGTGCATGTGAAAGCTTTCCCAATGCTAGAGTGATGGGCTTCATGTTCTCCTTATAAGTAAATCCTAGAAAGGGAGCGTTAGAAGTCAAGATAGGGAGCTTTAGTTGCTGGGTATTAAGGGTAAAATTTGCCCTATTAAAGTCACTGACTTTGTTAGGACCAATATTTTACCAGAGATGCTTGGGGAAGTAGGTTGAATAGAGTACCAGCCCCCATCTCCATTCTTCACTGGTGCTGGCATGGCCATCTTAAGTCAGTGGAATAGAGCCTTCAATAGGTTCCAAGGAGATGGAAAAATGAGTGCATATTGATCCACGTATTCTTTAGCATATACTAGAAAATTTCTTTCTTATTTTCTATTTCTGCTTTGTGGATAATTAATCTTAGAAAAATTGAAATAGTATCTTAAGTCGTATCTACATCCAGGGCATAGTTACACCACACAGAATCATCTAAAAAAGGGTTAAAATATAGAATAATAAATCTAATAAAAAAATGATTTTGAAAATCTATGTTTACCTTAGACTTAATGGTGATTATTTTTTAAATTTGGGACCTAAGAATCAGTCACCTAAATAAGGGGCCTGACTTTCAAAGATGCTTAAAACCCTGTATCTCCCATTGACTTCAGTGAGTGCACATTATCTGTGAAAACCAGGCTCCTAGTTTACTTGACTAATTATCAATTGAATCATCCAAATTTGAAAATTTTATCCAGTAACTTTATTTCTGACTGTCTTCATTAATCTTACTCTCATTTCTCTTAAATAAAATCTACCATTTAACTATGTTTCACTGTTATATTATTTTTTTCAGGTGTCATTATGTTCACTGGTTACAGAGCAATACAATGATTGCCTGGTTTCAGCAAATTTTGGTGGGGGTACATGAAAAGATGGGGTACAGTATTTTGGCTATTTTATAGGGATGGCATATTTTAGAATATAATATAATGAATTCCCCAAACATACAGACTAACAATGCTTGAAGTACAGCGGT